TTGTTATTGTTGTTTTAGCTGGCCTGGGTCGGATTCGAACCCACCATACTTGGTGCGTGGCTGGCACCCTACCCACTGAGCTACAGGCACCACCCCAAGTTTTTTATTTTAAAAAATAAAAAATACTGGTTACCCCTGGAGGCGGGGGCGAGGGGGAAGAAAGATGTAGTATTCAGGGAAAGAGATATCGGAGGCTTCAAATATAAGATAATGTTCTATGTCTTAAATGCAACTAAAGCATACAAGTATTTGTGGTATTTTATTCTATATATTCAACAAATATTTCATAAATACTCCTTTGCATTTATTCAGTATTTATAAAACCATGAAGGAAGGGAAAAAGGAAAGGAGGAAGGAGGAGGGAAGGGGAGGAAAAGAGGAATAGAAAGGAAGAATAAACTCAAAATTTGACATAAGGTTTACTGTTGAGTTAGGAAGAAAGTGATGGGTGAGGACTAGAATACTCTCATCTCCTTGAGATGTACCTGCAGCTCAGGAGTGCCAGATACAGGACTCCTCAAAGACTCCCATGTCAGTGACCACCCTCCCAGCTTATCTAAAGAGCTTTTCATGTATTCTCCATCTAGATAAATAAAAGCCTCAGTTTTTAAAAAATATTTATCTTTGCCGTGAGTTTCAAAGTCTATTTTAAAACTCAAAAACGAGAACTTTCTCCTCCTTCCTCTTTGTATTCCTGCTGCAGCAATTCTATTCATCTTCAAAGCAATAGCTGCCTCCTACACAGCTATTTCCAAAGAGTGTGCCATAAATGGTCTGTTGGTACTTAGCAACTCTTTAGGGTCTTTCAAGAAATCTATTCTGGGCAGGCTAGAGCAGAGAACTCACTAACCTACAAACCAAAGAGATATGGATAGATAGATAGATAAATATTCATCTCAATAGGCTTTAATTAAACAAGCTGTAAAATAACAACATGCACTCCAGGCTAAAGTTAATGGGATGTTTTCTTTGTGGAGAATATAAAATATAATTTAAATGCATCTACCAGGCAGCATTTAATTGAAACATAGATTATTTTCTTTAGACTTCAATAAGGATTTCTATTAATAAGTATCTGAGAAAACTTATCTGATGACTTAAATGTCACATTAGCATTTTATGAAATTCAGAGAAAAACGAAAATGTGGATCAACATATGTTGTGAGTTCTTTGCCAAAATGTGTAGCATGGCAACTGTCTCCTTCACTTTCCTATCTTCCTCGCTGCTCTAGGTGACATGGTGACTCTGCAGGGCTGTCCCCAGCTGTAGCATGCAGGGCCTGCAGAACGACTCAAGAGCTTTTTGGATACTGCACAGTAAAGACTTAGAAGGGAAACATTACCATATCTCTTTCTCCCCAAGCACTTGTCCACCATCCTCTCTGACTGAGATCTCCTATTACCGAGGAAGATCCCATTAAAGAAGCACTGCTTTCCAACATGGTAGGTGTGGATATTGCTGCTAAACCTTGGGTAAAACGACCACTCTGGACGCTGCCCGTCTTCTGCAAGACATGAGAAATCCTTCCATGAGTGCCACTGCCAGCCTCATAATTATAAATGGATGACAAAAGCTGTAAAAACTCCCCAGATGCTATCTGGCTGTACAAACTTTACTCAACTTGTGTAATTCTTTGGTTCTACATCAGGAGGAGCAGTGTCAACCTCTGGAGGACGAGGCTCAAAAGGAAGAGAATTGTGTATTGGGGGGGAAGCTACCTAAGAGGGTGCATGTTTTCCCCTATTTAATCACTCCGTCAAAACTAAAGCAAATTTTATGTTTGGAAGTTATATATAGGTTAAGAAGCTCAGAGACAGTTTTACAAGCACCTGTAATCCAACCTTCACTCTGATGACTGCATAGCAAAAATAGAATGCCCATCATCCAGGAAATGGCTAGCCAACCACGGCATCTAAGTGGATGGAACACAGCACTGGCTGCAACAATAGCACACGCATGTGCTACAGTGCCACCAGAAGTGCATACATGTAGTAACAGCAAAAGACACAAGCTGCTGTCAGACCTCAGGCTAGTTACTGGGCCTCTCTGTAACTCTACTACTTGTCCTCCAACATTGCTAATGGTGATTTTAAACAATGAAAGATCCCCTAGCAACTCTAGGATTGCTTGAGAAACATTTGGGCTCTGGGGCTTTGGAGGCAGGCAACTTGGGTTCCAACCACATCACTCTACTTTCTGGCTATGTGATTATATGGGTGACTGAATCTCTCCAACTCCAGTTTCCTTCTCAATAAAATGGGTAGGTCTATATTGGCCACCTGGATCTATCTGTGTTAATACATAAAGAGGTCCACAACCTATTTACTGCTGATCGAAAATAGTCTGTATACTACAACCCATTTATTTTATATTGATATATGTACATATGTGTCTATATACACATGTATGTATACATTTCAAAATTCTGGAAAAATATATATCAACTCTTCACAGCTACAGGGCAGAACAGGGATATCATTGGAGAATATTGGGGAAGGGTTTTTATGCTTCAGCCTTCTATATTTTAATATTTTGCTATAGTACTTTAGCATGTTTTATATAAAGGCATTTCATTTTTAAAAAACATATAACAAGAGCCCCCCTGCAGAAATGTTAACAAAGTAGAGATACATGCATAACACATGTCAAATTCCTGGCACTTGTAGGTCTTCAGTGACTGGCCAACAGACTTCTGAAAAGACCCTGGGCACAGAGGCTTGTGGTGTAGGGTCTGTTACTTACTTGTCTGCATCTGAAGCAGGCTGAATTCCTTGGGATATTCATTCTCTTGGATTTTAGTCAAAGAGGTTTTAGAGGAGTGATCAGAATGTGAGGAAGAGGATTTCTGATCCAAATCTACAGCAGTGCTAGAAAGAAGAGTAGAATTAGATTTTTCCATGTGCTTAAACTGGTAGAAACTAATCTTACGTATCTTATGTTAGAATTGTCTTCACTGGCTCGGCGCCTAT